TTATAGAGAAAGTTAGTTTACAGTTCTACAGATTGAAACTATTATCTGAGTTATAGATATATAATATTTTTTATATCTCTTTACTCTGTAAATATAAGAAATTCTTAGAAGAGAACTCTATGACTCATCACTCTATCTATGAAGTACTAGAGAGTAAAAGAGAATATCAGATCAAAGAGATTGTTAACTCAGAGAAGTAAGATTGTAAGCTCTGATTTAAGATTCAGTGATAAGAATATTCTAATAAGATAAATAAGTTCACTTAAGAATTATCTGAGTAGATAAGATATCTGCAGAAGCTAAGACATAACTTTCATACTATGAATTCTGATAAGTTAGAATAGTATAATCTTTGCTAAGAACCTGATTGTGATAAAGATATTAACACTGTTATTTGTAAATTCTAGTCTATAAGATAATGAGTTTCTACTGAGATGAACAGTTCATGATGTATGTAAGAAAAGAAGAAATTATATTCTTATTAAAGCTAAAAAATAAGAAAATAAACAGAACTGTGAATACAATTTAGAGATTAATAAAGAAAAAATAAAGAAAACTTACACTTATATTATTAATATCTGTGACACTTAAATCTCTTACAACTATCAATTTCTCTCTTCAAAGAAGCAGAGAGTATTATATCTGTGATACAGACAATTATTACATTTGATATAAAGATTATCAGAAATGCACAGACTTCAGAGAAGCTGAATATCAGAGTGTGTACAGTTGTAGCAGAGTCTTGAAGACTGACTGTCTATATATGTAATCAGATATCTCTTATAAAACTGTGTTCACTCTCTCAGTTATACTGAAGTATTCAGTCTGAAAATAATTAATATATGAAGAGAGAGCTCATCTACTCAGATTAACTCTTATTATAAATTTATAGCATTTGCATTGCCTTAATTACTCAGATTTTATGAGTACTCAGAGACTCATCTTCTATTAATAATAAGATTGCAGAAATGCACTGCAGTATGAGAATCATTGATAGAGAATCTAAGCATATTTACATATGTCTGATCAGAGATTGTGTGAGTAGAGAGAGAGTGATTATAGATCTGCAGAGCTGCAGAAGATACTGACAACACTGAGAGCTTTGTAAGAACTGTTAGCTAGAATCTGTAAGAAATTACTTATAAGAAGACTTACAGCAAAGAGAGAGACTGTATTACTTAAAGTCAGAGACTGATCTGAGAAAGAAATAAGATGAGCTGCTGATCTGAAGATCAGATGCAGTGATAGAGCTGAGAAAGATGAAGATAAAATTATAAGTAGTAATGTCTCTGCTTCATCAGCTAGTAAAAAGTAATTAGAGAAGTTGCAGAAACACTCATGAGAAGCTCAGCAGCAGTCAGATATTATTTATAAAGATATTGAAATTAAAAAATTTTTATTCTTGAGAAGTTCTTGAATCAATATGTGAACATTGTTAGAAACACTCTCTCTCTATTATCTGAGTGAAAACACTTTGCAGATGAATAAGAATACTCACAGTTTATAAGAATAAAAGCTGTTATGAAAAAAGAGAAAAGAAGATGAGATTTCATGAATAGATCTGAGATATTTATACTACTCTAGAGAGATTTGCTTACACTGTGAGTGATTCTATGAAACAGTCAGATCACTCTAGTAAATAAGAGTAATTATGAATTGCAGACTTGAATCTTTCTATATAACTATAAAGAGTAATTGCAGACTGTGAATATCTTGATTCTACAATTCTATAAAGTTAGTGAAAGAATGAAAAATTCCTCACAATTCTACAATATCAAAGAATAATAATTTATAAGAATGAGTGAAAGATCAACTCATAAATATTTCTCTTTGATAGAGATAATCTTACAGAGAGTGATTCATCTGTGAGATAAATCTATATAATAATCATATAAGAATCTTATGAAAATGATTAAGAGTTAACTGAAATTCTTCTGTATGAAAGATGTGAGATGAATCTGTGTAATAGTCAGAGAAGAATCTGTAGATTATAAAGAATCTTACAGAATAAGAAACTGAGTGACAGACTCTTTTCTCTTTATAATAACAAGGGATTTTTCCTCACTGAGGTTTTTTATAGATATGAAGAATTTTTAGTGAGTATTACTACAGTGCTGAGCTGATTCTATGAAGTCACTCAGTGAAAGGCTTCACAGATGAAGTCTTAGAGAGAAGAAAATATATAAGAAATCTTACTTCTCATAGATTCTTTATCTCTATTTCTATCTCTCATGTAATTAATAGAGCTAGTGGCCCTTGACTACACATAACTATATAGACTGAAGTTTGTGAATACTATTTACAACTCAGCTTGAATGCTATTATACATTTGACTTCTATATTTTATCTTTCTACTGTGAACACTTCTAGTAGTTAACAGTACATATCACGCCAAGCTGCAAACACTCAAATAATCGCCTGCGAGCACTTATTCTTACAGAGTCTCTGTTCTTTTCTTCATAGATGATTACTTCTTCTACAAGAGTTAATCTCTATAAAACAATCACTGAATATATAAGAGCGTACGCTCATCTCTCATCTTTTAGAGAATAAGACAAGTTTTTACTCTTATATCTGACTCTACATAGCAGCGTACACTACATGTCTCATCTATTCTGATTATAGATAAAATAGATATCTGATAATAATATATATATTAATAACTCTCTTAACTATATATTATATATATGTTTTCTATTTTAGTTTCTGATTAAAATATACTCTTAGAAGCTTGATATCTGATAATAATAAAATAATATATTTATTTATTATAATAAATTCTGTTATTTAATCTCTTTTTCTTTCAGTGAAATAAATTAACTTTATCTTCTTAACTGAGAATTATAAGTCTATTCATCTTATTCATTCTTTAATTCTAGAGATATCTATTTATTGAATCTTTTACAGATTACTTTCTACATTTAATCTGATTCTTCAGTAGAAATAATTATTTATAAAAATAGATATATCTTTATTATAATTTACTAATTAATTAATCAGATCTGAGTTGAAGAAGATAATGAAAAGAATTAAAGAGAGAGAAGATTCTTAAGTAAGATTAGTATTAGAAAATAAGATTATTTTAATACTGAAATTATTAAATTTAATATTAATAGATTTATTTTTCATAAAGTTCTGAACTTATCTATATACTATCTGAGAAATTCTCATCTCTCTGAGTCTGATCTTCAGTGTGTATTTATTTATCTCATTGAAGATCTCTTTAATATTAAAGAAGACTAGAGTTAGAACTCTACTGTATTTTCAGATTTAATTAATAATACTAATTAGAATTAGAAGTGTTTATTTCATAGTTCTGCTTAATCTGACTCTGAATTGTATATTTAAGAGAAGATTATATTTCTCTGTATAGTATATAAGACATTTCATAATCACTCTCTTCAGAATCTTTCTCAGTATATTAAGAAGTGAGATTGAGCAGTATACTTCAGAAGCTGTGTAGTTCAGTTTCTCAGGTTTCTGTAGTACTACAATCACTGCAGTCTTTCAACTTGTTAAGTAGTGTCTCAGTCTGATTGATGCTTTGAAGATCTGATGTATGAGTTTTAACAGGTATTTTCATAGACTCTTTCACACTAATGCTGAAAGACCATCATTTCCAGAGGCTGATTTGCTTTTGATTCTCGCCAGTGTTGCCAGAATCTCTTCCTCTGTGATTGACTCTCAGAGCAGTTCCTCCCGGGTTGAGATGAGAGATTCTCTCAGTGAGAATATAGCTGAAGAAAAGAAACTGTTCAGTAGTATTTGAGCTTTGTCTTTGTTGTCAGCATATTCAGTGTTCTCAACTACCAGGGCCGGAATGTTGATGTAATTATCTGAGAAGCAGATGTATCCTGCTGCTTTTCAAAGATGATTGCCCACACTCACTTTGTCAAGAAATTCTTTCCAGTGCTCTCACTTGACTTTCTCTATTATTCAAGTCCATTCCCTGCGCTTCCGCAGCGCGTCCATGTGTAGGGCTTGAGTGATTGAGTGGTTGCTTCCCCACTCAACGCAACTGACCTGCCACCTCCTTCAGCTTCTGTTGCACTCGGACTGCTGTGTTTTCAGGTCTCGGCTGAACCAGTGTTTGGTGTAAGGAGATGGTCTTGCGTGCAGGGTGTGCTTGTCTATTTCTGCTATTATTGTTGTGATTAATCTGCCAACTATTCCATCCAGCTGAGTTGTTGATTCAATCCGTGGTGTAGAGATTGCCTTCTCTACAGCTTTGCCAATCTCTTCCCAGTTCGCTTGATTGAAAAGTCTGTGTGACTGGCTTGAATCTTTCTGTTTCAGTTGCAGATCTCATTCTGAGTAGATCACTAGGTGGTCGGAGCCGTAGTTGTCTCAGTAGGGGTGGCATTTGAGTAATTGATGTGGGATGTTACTGAGTGTGAGGTCGAGTGTGAAGTATGTGCCTGGGTGGCTCGCTGACCAGAAGGTGGTGGTGCCAGGTGGGAGACAGCTATGGAGTTCTTGAGCCTGTATGAAGTCCAGGAGGCCCCCGGTGTCTCGGGCTCATCTTCAGTTCACCTGGATTCCACCCCACATCTGATGATGTCGGTTGAAGTCCCCTGCGATGATCAATGTGGTTGCAGGCGAGAGCCGGATTGTCCGGCTGATTTCGTTTAAGGTCTGGCGTATCGGGTTGTCTGCCGGGTCGAATGGCGGGATGTATGTGGAGAAAATTAAGATCTGGCTTTCTCCTATCTGGAGCTCGATTGCTGTTACATCTGGGCTGTGGCACCGCCTTTGCCGGTATGCCGAGGTTGATATGCGCTTGTTGACATATATTAGACTGCGCCCCGTGGCGTGTGTTTCGGTGCATGATGTTTGAAACACCCTCCAATGTGGGTGTTGTATTGGTGTTGTATAATATGTGAAAGGGGGTTCTTGTACGAGTAGCACCTCCAAATCTCCAATTTTGCGGTCATTGAGGAGTGCTTCTATGGTCGAACGTTTTTTGTTGGCGTTCAGTTGTAAAATCCGCAGTTTCTGTGTTAACATTGAAGGCTGGTAACATTGGCTCTCGATTTGCACTCTGTTGCTCCTGTCGGGTGGCGTTCTGCGCAGTCTGCGCATTTAGGAGTCGACTCTCGAGGGCAGTTAGCTGTGTTGTGCTCTCGCGTACAGAAACCACATCGTAGTCTCTCTTTGCAGTTCCAGGCCAGGTGGCCGAAGGCCAGGCATCTGTGGCATCGTTTCTTCTTGATCTGATATGCCTCAATGCTGCCTATATATCGATGTCCAAACACCATTCCATTGTTTACCGCCCATTCGGCAGCTTCCGCACTATCGAACCATATCCCAAGTGATGCCGACGCGCCTAGCGTGGATTCCCTCTTCTTGAGCCATGCGATTTCTTCTACCTTGTATCCCTTTTGGGCGAGCTCATTTTCCTCTGTTATCTTCTTCATGCTTTGTGGTTTGTCCTCGGTGTCGACTTCATGTGTGGGTGTTCGGTGTACTACCACACCAAATCTGGGTCTGACCAGCTTTGTTTGGCTTCCCAGGTTCCGGAGCCACCCCCCGTTCACGCTGGCAGTGTCTTTGGAGGCTTCATCCCGGAAGCGGATGATGTACCCTGTTTTTGTGGTTCCTACCCCGATGATCTCGACTCCTTCGGTTGGCGTATTCTTTTGTAGGGCGTCTGTGACCCTCGCTTTGACCTCTTCCACGGGGAGATATCTTGTGAGGGACCCTCCATATTCCATTGGGTCGGAAGCCTGTACCGCACTGATACGGACGCAGAGCGGGGGGTCTTTCCTGTCAGCTTTTGTAGATGCGGACGTTGGGGCCGGTGGAGGGGTTGATGATTCGCCATTCGTTCCGCCGTTGGAGGCAATTGATGCCCAAGATCGTTGATCCGGTCTATGTGTCACCTGGGTTCTCAGAGCAGTTATCTCATCTTTAAGGCTCGAGTTTTGCCTGATTAACTCTTTCTGGTCTGCTTTTAACTCTTCACAGCATGTTTTGAGAGTCTCCACCGCCTGGCCTTGTTGTGCGATGATTCCTTTCAGCTCGGTTATAAGCCATGCAATTTCGTCAAGTTTGTTCGGGTGTCCATCGCTGTTGCCTGTAAATTCAATGTTTGGGGTGCCATTTAGTTGGACAGCCGTGAAGGCGTCGGTTTTCTTTCGCTTGCGTGTTGGTTTCTGCGTTTTTGGTTGGGTCGCATACTGGCGCGTCGTCGAATTAAAGTTGATCCACGTTGCATCCCTGGTTCCAGGCTCCACATTCGGCTGTTCCCCGTCGTTTACCACACTTCTCGACATCGACCGGGTCACCGCAGCCTCCGGTAACTGGTCTATCTCGCTTTCGATGTTTTCTAGCATTTTCTTCCTTGTATCGCAACCTTGTAGTCCTTCTTCGCGACCTTGACGGTCCGGACCAGGAGGACGCCAAGGCGTGACAACTATGGCCATGATTGGTTTGCTTTATTTAGTCAGTCCTTGACGGTCCGGACCAGAAGAACGCCAAGGCGCGACTTTGAGATGGCCTTGATAGTTGATTGGTGTTCTGCATGAAGCTAATAGTCAAAAGATGTGGATCCCTATTCAGTTCATTCAAGAATGAGATAGATAAATGCTCAGACACTGTTGAATTAGATATTCTCAACCGAGCTTTCTGCAGTCCGACACTCGACATCAGTCATGGTACACAGAAACATTTTCAAGATGCATCTAATATTTTCATAAATCTATTCTTGAGTAGTTGTTTAATGTCATAGATTCATTCCTAAATGCCCGTAATGTTACACGCAGTTTAACGCATGGCTCCTGACCAATCACTTGCTGCAGGAACAGCCGACATCGCCGACATGGGGATATTCAACAAACACAAAAAATCATGGAGAGACATTAGCCGCAGACCTGCATCTTCCAGCTTCGTACCTTTTCGCGGCCCGAGCCACGAATGTGAAAAGGAGGCGGCGGAACGTCAAAGCTATGATTCTATCTCAGAAGAATGCTACTGGGACTGATTACATCATGAATCAAAGGCCTCATGATAAAACGACTCTCGCCTTTATCAGCTCAGCGATCACACAGATGCGGACAGGAAAGATTGGACTGCGAGCATACCTCCACGCCATCAACAAAGCTGACACCAACAAATGCCAATGTGGTTGGGGACCACAAACGGTACGCCACATCCTTCTGGAATGCCGAAACTGGATGGAAGAACGAAACCGAATGTGGGGAGGCATGTGTGGACATAAAACGCATTCTCTGTAGCTCGTCAATGGCGGTACAAGCAGCAAAGATGATTCTGAGGACTGGGCTCCTGGGACAATTCCAGGCAGTTCCATCCACAGTACTCCAAGTGATTATTAGTAAACAGAAGCAGAGGAGTATCTGAGCTCTTGTAGAAGGTAGCAATTCAGTCAATGAATAGCTTGATCTTTGAAACAAGAGCAGAAGTGTCTGTATTTATAGTTGTACACCAATCAATCAAAGGCCTCATGACGGATTTTGTCTTGAGACAATGTACACAAGACAGTGGCAGACCTAAGAGAATCCTCCTAGACCATTCTTCACGAGTGAAATATCACATGCCTAGTCTCTTGGTAGTAGACTCATATTCTTATTAGCATATGTTGTATTTTGTCTTGAGTCTGCTATCTAATGATTTATTGTGTCACAGGCTGGGTGGCACAGCAGCTATGCCAGAACAAGACTACATCACTCTTGAGAGTCTCTACTCATTGCGCTTACGGGCTCGAGTCTATCAGCATACCTCAGTCTGCATATTACATTAAATTTTATGATCAATTTTCCCTGTCTTGGAACGGCTGACTTGGGGAGACTGTTGACCTGGGGAAAACGGCTGACTTGGGGAGACTGCTGGCCTGGGGAAGACGGCTGACTTGGGGAGACTGTTGGCCTGGGGAAAACGGCTGACTTGGGGAGACTGCTGACTTGGGGAAGACGGCTGACTTGGGGAGACTGCTGACTTGGGGAGACTGCTGACTTGGGGAGACTGTTGACCTAAGAAGGCTTGCAACAAAAGCAGCAGTGCGACAGAAATGTTCTGGGAAAGACGGCTGGCTTGAGGCCAGAACCTTCCCCAAGCCAACAGTCTCCCAAGTCTTCTCTAAAACTTGAATATGTTTTCGTCTCTACAATTCTATAAATTTTGGAATGATCACCCACTTCAGTTCTCATGACAGAGTAGTTGTTCTCATTTCAATGCTATACATGGAATACTTCTGTATTTTTACTCCTCAGTATAAATATTTTCAGTGAGAACAGAGAGATATGCGAGAAACAACAACAGAAAGCATGGCAGTGCACTATAGTACCAGATTTCTCAAGAGTTGCTGGAAACCAACAGTTCAAGAAAGCTTAGTCATTTGAATTTTTTTTGAAAGAAATCGCGCGCGGCAACATTCGCGGCTTCTTTGGCCAGAGAGATGCGTAGGAGAGCCAAATGGGTTGTGGTTGAAATGGATTGCGAGCGAATAGGATGGCGAGCGAAATGGATTGCGGGTGAAATGATGGTGTGTAAGGAACTGTACGTACTGAATCGTACGGTAGATCTCAATCAGGTAAGGAATAGTGAAGGAGGAAACTAGAGAGATATTGAGTGGGGAACAACAACAGGAAGCGCTGCAGTGCGCTACCAGTTGATATCTCAAGAGTTGCTGGAAACCAGCAGTTCAAGGAAGCTTAGTCATTTGAATTTTTTTGAAAGAAATCGCGCGTGGCAACATTTCGCGGCTTCTTTGAAGCCGGAGAGCTGTGTAGAAGAGTCAAATGGGTTGCGAGCCGAAAGGAGTGCGAGCCGAAAAGGAATGCGAGCTGAAAAGGGATCAGGTGAAGAGAAGAGTTAGCCGAAAAAGGGGCGGGCGATATGGAGCGCCAAAAGAACACCGGCTTGGCTTGGCTTGGCTTGGCTTGGCTTAGACTAAGCAATCACCATGTAGACCTCCAACTCTTCCGCCTCTTTCCACCACCCATGATTTCAATATTAGATGCGAGGTTGGCCATAAAAATTTCTACCTAGTAGCTCTTGACAACACCAGTGATAACCTGACGACATGTTCCGCAGGTTGCGCCAATGGGGGGAAGGCATTTTGGGCAATACCGATGTCCACACAGAAGGGTCCTCCACCCTGATGGAATGATATAACAGATCTGACATTGACATTGATGCTTCAGCTCACGGACTTCAGTCTCAAGCCCACAGACTTCAGTCTCAAGCTCACAGATTTCAGTCTCAAGCTTGCCGACCAGCCTGTCCTTTCTAGTCATTTCTGCACACAGATGCTGCACTTCTTCTTCCAGCGCTTTTCTCTTCGCATGCTCCGCCTTGAAAATGTCATGAATTCCCTGGTTTGTGGTTTCCTATCTCAATATCAGCAAAGAAACGGCCCCACCATGAGCCACACGGGGAAGAGTCTTACCAAAACAGTGCCCAAGTTGGGTATTTTACATTTTTTCGGTGGCTGCCACATTTCGGAGGGTGCTGGGCCATCAAATAGAGCCTCATACATCGGATAGCTGTAGTCTGTGCGGGGCCTCTTTCTTCACAGCTTTCACACTGGGGGCTGGTGTTCATCCATCTCCGCATCTGAACTGATGATGATAGTGTTATGAAGCCCGTCGCGAGGACTATCAGCTGACGCCATGATTAAAGGATGGTTGTGCCCTGGAAATGCAGCTCACTAGGAACAGCTCATGCTGCAAGGAGGTGACTCCAGATGCGAGGCTGTGGGTAAACAAAGAAGAATGATGAAGAGCACCAGTGGGGGAAAATAGATTCTTTTATGTTCGCTCGGTCGCCTTCGAGTACACAAGGGCCTCCGGGCGGGTTTCAGCGGTGTAGGATGGGAAGTGGAAAGGAATTGAAAGAAAGATGGATTCAAAGGCGGGAGGGAGCCCATATATATACCCAGGGCCGGGGAAGCAGTCACGCGAGTTCAGGCTGTGCTGTCTCATCTGTTGGGAGCCAATAAGCCTCACTGAACATGTGCAGGGGAATAGCGTCGCAAATTTTCACTGGCAGTCAACACCCTGAGACCCTAGGGAAAAGCCCTAGAACCGGATGGGCTCGGAGTGAGATGGGGAGAACAACCTTCGTAGCCAGTGAACTGGGGTCGTTAGGCGTGCTTTCCCTCTTCGATTCCTTTCCGGTGAGGGAGAACCGTCGGCAGGTCTGGGAGGTAACATCGTACGTGGAGGTAGCCATGTTGTGAGATGAGATGATGAGATGCTGTTCTGCCCCGATCCAGGCGGCACTTGACGTCTCTATATGTCCCACGTTCAACGCCCCCCTGCGAACAGAATAGGTCGAGGATAGGCAAAATGGTAGCTGAGATGTGCCTTGCGTGGGTCGCCAATCATCCACACTGAAGCAGCTGCCGAACCGGGGGATGATGCATTGAAGGGGAGGACCATCGCAGACATACTCCTGGCTTCACCCTCATGCCATATCGAGCCCATGGACATCTCGTTTCCAATCACCCAACACGTAGCGAGATTCGAGGCACAACTGCATGTCAGCGCTTCTTGCCAGAGGGCGCAGCGAGATGGGCGCCAGATCAACGAACTTGAGCTCTCATCCAGTCAATATTGATCAGGTGGAAGGACAATCCCACACCAAATGAGCACTTGAACCAGTCAAATCTGCCCCAAACCCTCCTGATGCGCCAGGAAAGTTAACCGACCAACTTCCAGACCTTTCCTACGGTCAGTAGGACCGGGGCAAGAGGCAAGGGGCTGGCACGTAATGGAGGCCGAGCTGCACCCAATCCCAATCATTGAGGCTTATCATTTTGCAATACACATACCCACGGGTACGGCTTGGCAATCCCATGATGGCTTTATACGCGAGAGCAAGATGAAGCAAAATACAAAATGCAGCTTGTGCTCTGCTCCTATAATTCCCGCTGGTTTCTGTCCACAGGGTGCTGGACCCTTTCCTCCAGTCAATAAGGCGAGGGATAAGGGGCAGGCATGTAATGAAAAGGCAGAACCTGACCCACAGCCAATCATCTGTCCTGGAAACAGTGCGACAACACCCCTGACTTCCCCCTGTGCTGCTTTTGTCAGAGGCGCAGTGAGGTAGGTGTAGGAGAAGCAGACTCCCCGCCAGTTAGAATGGACCAGGTGGAAGGTAATGCTGACAGGTGATGCTGCCAGTCAAATGAACATGGTCTAAAAGGCTATAAAAGGCACTTCCCCTCTCATCTGAATACAGCCTTCAGTCTCCTTCAAAATCTTCTTCCCTCTTCAAGATATTTGCTCGTCTTGCTGCACGTCCTCAACATGGATAGACAAGGAACCGAGAACCCTCCTCCATTACCCAGTCAGCATCTGTCGCCCGATGCGCAGCAAAATTCTACCATCCCAACTTATCGCGATGCGTTGGGTGACTTTCTCCAGAAGGTGCCATCCCAAACCCATGCCTCGGGTAAGAATTCAATGACATATTGCCTCCTCCCCTTCTCCTCTGTTTTGCTCTATATAATGCCCTCTTCTATTTCTATTTCTCATGTCAGACTGCAGCCTCTTTTAACGTCCCAAACAAGCGGCTGTCTGTTGACAGGACCTCAAATAACCTGTCTCAACATTCTGGCGACATCGAACCCGAAGATAAAGACAATATCTCAGATTCTGGGGCTACAACAGAACCTTTGGCTGATGGCGTGTTGGAGAATCTTCACTATCGGTATGAGGCGGGGGAGGTTGAGAGGAGTCCTAAGATCTGTCATGTCGGAGAAAAGGTATTGCGAGACGGTAATTATGTTCGCAATGTGCGCTATGTGGTGGAAACGTATCTCCCGGACAATTGGCTCCCGGGCAATGCCAGGCTCAAGCTGCGGAAGCAGGAGGAGAAGCAACAAAGAAAGAAAGAGAAGATACAACGAAAGAAACGTCTGAGCACATTACGTCCTCGACCATCAACACGCAATTAATGGAAGATGGGATGTTCGCTTGTCAATTATGCCAACCAAAACACTCATTTGTTTATTTGATATTATAATACCCAATCATTTATCCACCTGCTCGCCCTTGCATAAAATTAGAATATAAGAGTCGACAGAGTGGTGGGCTACCACCCAAAGCCAATTTCCCTCGTGGGATCAGTGAGTGGTGCCCGAAGTCAGTTCCCTCAGAGACTATATTGTCTCGGGGAACTGTTATAATTGTGGTCATTTGATAAGAAAATGTTGTTTTCTTCGTGGGTTTCATGTCCTCGGGTACTCACCACCCTGAAGAGCCGTAAAATGATGGCTTCTCTCATTGAAATCGCGGCCTTCTTTGGGTGCTAATTATTCCTGCGGAACTGAACACCCTGGGGGAATCCCTCCCGGCTTCCAGAGATAGAGTCCCATGTGGTGTCAGCAGCCTTAAGGAAGTGAACTCCTTGGGGAAGGTGATCCCTTGGGAGATGCCACAATTTTGAGCGAAAAGGCCACAAAGATAGAATTCTTTGGGAGGGCCATGACTTGAGCGAAAGGCCATAAAAATAAAGGCCCTTGGGATGCCATAATTTTTGAGTGAAAGGCCACAAAGAATGACGATCCTAGAGGGACGCCACTGAAAGACCAGAATACTTAGAACTTCTAATTGATTCTCAGGGGTAGCCATGATTTCTGCTCAAAGCGACGATAATCTACTAATCCCCAAGGATGACATTTTGCACTCACGATGCTGAACGAAAACCACAGAAATGAGGCCCCTGACGGATACCATATATTTTGAGTGAAAGGCAACAAAAAATAACGATTCTCAAGGGGCGCCACCAGCTTTTGCCGAGAAACCAGAATACTTGGAACTTCTTATTGAGTGTGCAATCAATATAAAATTTAACTTTCCAAAACAGGCAAAGGCTCTGCTTAGTAATTTTCTCTACTTCATTGTAATTTACAACAAACAAATTTTCATCTATTCATGCTTATTCTCGAGTTTTCCTTGTTTTCCCCTCTTCCCCTCTCTGGACTTCAGATATTTCATGTAGTTCTCGCACGTTGTTTGGGATGGAGAGGGATAATGCTTCTCCTGTCTCTGTAAGAGTGTGTCTTTTCTGGGCTGTATCAGACATGGCACTCACTATGTCTTCATCTGGTGATGGAAAGTGGCTGCTCAGGGAATCAGACTTGTTAAAATTAATTGTAAAGTACTGATTGTCTTCATGGATGAGAAGGTAGACACCTTTGCAGTGGCAGTCATCGAAGTAGCTGCGCAGCATACATTGGAGTGTGCCTTTCTGTTGATAACGCATCTGTACAAGTCTACTGTGCGCAGTCCATGGCTTCTTGACATGCTTTGAGTTTGATGGTTGCATAATGTAGCATTTGATTCCAATGAAGATAAAGATCTGGGACTTGATAGTTATCTCTTGGCACAATGGGAAGAGATCTCAATTTATAGCCACGAGTGAGTGTTGTCTAGAAATAGGGTGGCGTTCATTGAGCCAAATGGCGCTTTTTAAAAGTGTACTTCTGTCGAACGTCTTTTCGAACGATCAGTCGTTTTGCCGCGACGATTGCATGCTTGGGCCACGATCTGCGATCCGAAACCGTGGCCCTCGCCATTTTGACTCGCGACTCACGCGATCCGAATTCATGGCCATGATCTGCGATCCAAAACCGTGGCCCTCACCATTTTGACTCGATTTTCTACTCGGCCACGCCATCTGAATTCATAGCCACACTTTGCACTAGAGCAGATATTGTGCTTGGACCAGAAGAAGTCTACAGAATTGGGAATGAATAAAATGCCCACAAATGTAAAAAGTCGAAATTGCAGGAATGACATCATTTAGAGACGCGTTTAGTGATTAAGAAACCGTGGCTCCATAGTGCGTACTTTACCGCTTTCTCTCATCAGTCTGTCACCATGTCAAATATTTTCTTCCCGTGTCGTCGCATTGCACGATATGCGTGGAATACGGCAATCATGCGCAAAAGGGTGACTAGTGGAGAATTCTCACCAGTTCCACTCCAAGGTACCCTGGGCGGCTTCTCGAGCTGCTACTCACGCTAGTTGCTTTTAGCACTGTAATTGGTGGGTCTCCAGCGGCTATTTCAGGCGCCCTGTTGATTTCAGAAACTGTTGAATTTATTTTTGATTTGACTTTTTGAACTTTTGAAAATCTTTTCTACATTTTTGATCTTTTATCTTCTTATTTCTTTTACTAGTCAGTACTTTCTTTGCTGTAAGTCAGCTTTTATTCTAGGACATTTCCATCGCACAGGACATTTCTGTCGCACTGCTGCTTTTGTTGCAAGCCTCTTTTTGTCACCAGAACATTTCTGTCGCACTGCTGCTTTTGTTGCAAGCCTTCTTTTGTCCCAGGACATTTCTGTCGCACTGCTGATTTTGTTGCAAGCCTCTTTTTGTCACGCAGGCAGTTATGCAGCGTACGACTATAAATACAGGTGTTTCCGCTCTTTGTTTCAAAGACCAAGCTTTTCGTGGGCCGAATCGCTTCCTTTCCGCCAGAGCTCAGACATTTCTCTACCGATAATCTTATCTGTTCTGTATAAAACAATGCATGTGTCCCAAATCCATTGGCTGGAGGAAATGGCAGATACCATGTCGGTTTATCTCAGCGGGCTCAGACCTCTGGCTCGGTTTGAACGGGTTGCAGCATTATTATTAACTAGTTAATCCGGCATGACACTAACCTACTTTTGATACAAGTCATGTGCTCAGAGCAATCCTCGCCAGAGGGTCTGAGAAGAAATGATTCCATCTTCAATGGAGATTCCTGAGATTTACAAGGATTTTTCAGATTCTTTAACTTTGACTTTCTATTACTATATATTCACATATCTTTGAGATTTGAAAATCACCTTAGCTTATAGCTAAAGAGAAGAAGAATAGAAATATTTCTTTAATATTTCAAAAAAATCTATATTTAAGATAGATGTATACTCTTGAAAATAATCATATTTTTTAATCTCAGAATTTCTAAGAGCTTTTTTTTATATAAGGAATTGAATTAAAATTCCTGTGTTCAAAAACATACTAGTTAACTTTGAGATGATACTTCTATTCTAAGAACTTGAGATATGAATATAAAAATCAGATACATCATAAGAATATTATTATTCTAAGATTTCAAGATAATACAGAAATGATGAATCTATGAAGTTGAGTTGAAATTCTCTTTCATACTCAGAGTACTGAGTAAATTCTTTCTGTGTTACTTAGACTGATTATGTGACCGTGTCTGAGACTAGAACCAGATTTTTTAATAGTTTCATTATCAATTTAACTAGACTGACTGCTGAGATTATGAATTTCATGTTTAGTTTCATTTGATCTGATCTTATATATTTCTTGATATGAATTTCACTGAGACTAATTATTAAATAAACATGCAAAGTGACTATATATCAGATCTTAAAATGAAATCATGACTTGAAAAAAATGAGAAAGTGATCTCATTTAGTCTCATTTAGTCTCATTCTTAGTATAAAGTTACTATTTTTAGACATTTTAAGGTTTTTTTTAGACTATTTTTAATTTTTTAAAAAGTAACACTTTTTGATAATACTCAAATGAGATTTAAAGTCATTTAAAGTAATAAAAATAATTTAAATTGAGAAGTGAAAATCATGATCTCATTTGAAAAATATAATAAGAGTAGACAGTAAGTCTCACTGAGACAGTATGAGACTACTATCTAATATTAGAACTGTGTAATGAAATCTGTCAAATTGACAATGAAACTATCAAAAATTCTGATTCTGATTTCAGATACAGTTACACAGTCAGTCTAAATTTAACTGATCTCATTATACAGTTTTAATATTAGATAGTAGTCTTATACTGTTTCAGTGAGACTTACTGTCTACTCTTATCTAGACTGGTCAGCAGAATCATAAATTTCACATTTAATCTCATTTAATCTGATCTCATACATTTCTTGATGTGAGTCTCACCAGAACCAAGCCTCAAAAAAATCTGAAAATGAATCATTTCTAAGAGAAATGGCATGAAAAATGATCAGATTTAATTCAAGAACAGTGAAATAAGAGTAATTTCTCAGAATAAACTGTGAAAGATAATCATTCTTCTAAAATCAGAATGAGACTGAGACTGAAAATTAAAATCAGTCTTATTCAGTTCATTCAGTGATTGCTTATATAATCAGAATTTGATAATGATTATTGATAATGCTCATGAAATAACTAAATACATTCTTATACAAGTTTATTTTTCACTTTCTCATAAAAACTACACTTCTCTGATATACTGTGATCAGAGGTATTAAACTGTCTGATAATTCTATGTTTTACAATCATGAGTTTCTTGATTGTTTCTTCTTGTAATTGTCTCTGATGATAGTGATAAATATCTTGACTTGAGTTGAACTTTCACTTCATTCCCACCCCTGTCAATGAAATTGTCAGAATATCACATGTTATCAGTGTAACAGTTGAATATGTACTCTTAACAATTTTTCATAACTCTAGAATTGATTTAGCATGTAAATTTATCAGATTATCTTGAAGATAGCAGTCAAATTCAGTTTTACAAGCATGTAGTTTTGCCTGATTTTCAGTTGCAATCAATGTATATAAGTTCTGTTTCAAAGTTAGTATTATAGTTCTATGAGATATGAAGTGTTATCAAAGATTATTACTTACTAGAGAATTGTATTTCACTGTCTTCACATCTAGACTGATCACCGAAATCATGAATTTCACATTTAATCTCATTTAATCTGATCTCATACATTTCTTGACGTGAATTCTACTGAGACTAATCATTAAATAAACATGCAAAGTGACTATATATCAGATCTCAAAATGAAATCATGACTTGAAAAAAATGAGAAAGTGGTTTCATTTGATCTCATTTAGTCTCATTCTTGATATAAAGTTACTATTTTTAGACATTTTAAGGTTTTTTTAGACTATTTTTAATTTTTTAAAAAGTAACACTTTTTGATAACACTCAAATGAGATTTAAAGTCATTTAAAGCAATAAAAATAATTTAAATTGAGAAGTGAAAATCATGATCTCATTTGAAAAATGTGACAAGAGTAGACAGTAAGTTTCACTGAAACAGTATGAGACTACTATCTAATATTAGAACTGTGTAATGAAATCTGTTGAATTGACAATGAGACTATCAAAAATTCTGGTTCTGGTCTCAGACACGGTCACACGGTCAGTCTATTCACATCTTGAATATCTACTCATTTAAATCTCTGATAGTTGGCATTGTAGTTAGACTGACCATGTGACCGTGTCTGAAATCAGAATCAGATTTTTTAATAGTCTCATTATCAATTTGACTGATCTCATTACACAGTTTTAACATTAGATAGTAGTTTCATACTGTCTCAGTGAGACTTACTGTCTACTCTTATCACATTTTTCAAATGAGATCATGATTTTCACTTCTCAATTTAAATTATTTTTATTGCTTTAAATGACTTTAAATCTCATTTGAGTGTTATCAAAAAGTGTTACTTTTCAAAAAATTAAAAATAGTCTAAAAAAAACCTTAAAATGTCTAAAAATAGTAACTTTATGTCAAGAATGGGACTAAATGGAACCAAATGAGATCACTTTCTCATTTTTTTCAAGTCATGGTTTCATTTTAAGATCTGATATATAGTCACTTTACCTGTTTTTTTGATAGCCAGTCCCAGCGGGATTCATGTCAAGAAATGTATGAGATCAGATCAAATGAAATCAAATGTGAAATTCATGATTCTGACAGCCAGTCTAATTGTAGTAGTCTCAGGCTAATTTAACATATGAGTCTTGTTTCTTCTCTGTTCAATCTTGAGAAGTGTAGATGTTAACTCAATGAAAGAAATCTAGTAGAGCTGCTACTAGACTGATCATATAACCGTGTCTGAGACCAGAATCAGATTTTTTGATAGTCTCATTATCAATTTAACTGATCCCATTACATGGTTTTAACATTAGATAGTAGTCTCATACTGTTACAATGAAACTTACTGTCTACTCTTGTCACATTTTTCAAATGAGATCATGATTTCAACTTCTCAATTTAAATTATTTTTATTGCTTTAAATGACTTTAAATCTCATTTAAGTGTTATCAAAAAGTGTTACTTTTTAAAAAATTAAAAATAGTCTAAAAAAACCTTAAAATGTCTAAAAATAGTAACTTTATATCAAGAATGAAACTAAATGAGATTAAATGAGATCACTTTCTCATTTTTTTCAAGTCATGATCTCATTTTAAAATCTGATATATAGTCACTTTGCATGTTTTTTTGATAGCCAGTCCCAGCGGGATTCACGCCAAGAAATGTATGAGACCAGATCAAATGAGATTAAACATGAAATT